TGTTTTCTTAAACAAAGGAAGTCCAGTTGCCTTTTGAAAAAGCATCTTTGGGGGCCGGTAAACATAGTGATCAAGAACATATGAAACAAATTCTTTGTACATTCTATCTTCAAAGTGCATGAATTTGGAAGATATATGAAAATAAAAGGCCCTTTGTTTAAGAAAACAATCCATCTTTTGCAGGAAAGCTATTACAAGTAGTCCTCGACTTACAACAGTTCTTTTAGTGACTGTTTGAAATCACAACGGCACAGAAAAAAGTCATCTGTGGTCATCTTTTACACTTAAGAGTGTTGCAGCATCTCCATGGCCATGTGATTTACATTCTGATGCATGAGAACTGACTCATATTTATGACAATTGCAGTGTCTGGAGGTCATGTGATCCCCTTTTGCGACCTGACAAGCAAAGTCAATGGGAAGCCAGATTCACTTAACAACCGTGTTACTAAGTTAACAACTGCAGTGATTCACTTAACAAATGTGGCCAAAAAAGGTAGTAATGTGGGGCAAAACTCACATTTCTCACTTAGCCACATAAATTTTGGGCTCAAATGGTGGTTGTAAGTTGAGGACTACCTGTACAGGATAAAAGAAGGACATCTTAAATTGCCTTATTCCAATCCCGGTCCTTAAAGTAAATATATGTAGCTTACATTCTCTCCTATTGGTACATGTAACTTAATTATAACAGATTAATGATCATGTTGGCTTTGATCAAATGTGTACCTTTGCAAGAAAATTCTCCTGAGATAATTATGGATGTATTCAGGGGGATTTTTAATTGTTATGTTAAACAAATTAATAACATTTGTCAGTATTTTATTATGGCTGTAGCAAAGGGGAAAGAGACATGGTGATTACACCATTTTGAAACATGGCTGGTAACTTTTTCCTTCATTTGGGCAGGTATTCAATATTGATTTGCCTTTTGATTTCCATTCCTTCCTCTGTTCCTTTTGAGAGGATAAATTCCTAAAAGTCCAGCTGCTTCACAGATTTCCTTGCCAGCCTATAATGCAAGTTGCCCAAAAGTTCTATGGTTGAAATATTTACTAGACACCTGTTACCATCCATTCTCTGGGTCAACTTTTACGGGACCCCCATCTCTAGAGTTTGCTCTCAGTGCACTAAACAGAACCATTCTATTTTTCTCTATCTTTTGCATCTTATTTTACAAATATGTTAAAAACAACAAATGGTAAGTAGGAATTCATCAGCATTTCTTGGTTATGTTACAGAAAACGGGGAATGCTGTTCGTGCCATAGGAAGGCTTTCCTCTATGGCAATGATTTCTGGCCTGAGTGGACGGAAGTCCTCTTCAAGTTCACCAACAAGCCCTGTTAATGCAGAGATTGAAGCTGGAGGTATGGAAATTCTGATATGAAGTGGAGGTATAGGTGTATACCAGTGATGGCAAACCTTTTAGACTGTGCATGCGCGCATGCCCAAACTGAAAGGTGAGTGCAAGCACAAACATGGACATGCACACATGCACGGACATGTACGCATGCACAGCAGAGACCCAAAGACCAGGTGGCCGCTGGGATGCAGGGCATCCCAACACTGGCAGCGTGGCAAGAGGTAAGATCTTTTTCTTTTGTGCGCTTCTGTTTCATTGTTTGCCAGGAAACAGTAGCTCATGAAAGAAACGCCACAGAGAACTGACCTGGGGCAAAGGTGCACGTGCCAGCAGAGAGGGCTCTGCATGCCACCTCTGACACATATGCCATAGTTTCGCCATCACGGTGGTATACCAGAATCTTTCCAACTTTGAACACAATTGCAGAAGAATATGAAAACTGAAGTCCAACGCATCTGAAGACCATAAGGTTGGAGAAGACTGATTCTGTTAGTTCCAAAACTACAATATTCATTTGTGTATCATCGAAAATCTTGTGGTGTCATTACTGGTATTTTCTTAATTTGGACATATGGTTAATCACTCTTTTGCAGAGATCTATAATCTTTTGTGGTTCAGGCTAACACCTAGTCTGCATTTAACCCAAGCACACATTTGTCCATTTCTGCATATTGATTATTCATTCACCAGTAAAATATTGGGCAGAGATTGCCATGTAAATCATCTGAGCAGTAGAATTACCATGCCATATTTCTGGAAGCATATTTTGCTATCATTTCAACTTTCCATTGAAATAAGAAAAGTGACGTGACTAGCTTCACAGATATAGTTAAGACAGATGTCAAGCAGATGGGACACAAAAATATGTATGAATATTGTAGGCTTTCATATTGTTTTGAAAGAAGTATTTGAGAAAGCTTTCGATGACATTCAGATTACCACATTATTTAAATGTAGATTATATGGCATAACACTTAAACAGATGCTTGAAAATTGTATTCTATAAAGAATATTCATCCACAACAAAAGACTGTAGAGTCTTTGTACTCTTTAATTCCCCCCCCCCCCAAATCAATTTTTTAATGACTTGGATAAGGAAGTGGGAAAAAAGATCTCTCAAAAATACAAGTAGTGCAGAATTGGGTGGAATGGACAATGTGTTAGATTGAAAAGGAAATTTGACAGAAACACATATAAAAACAATAGAAAAATGCAAACAGAGAATGAGGGAATGTCAGCTTGGCAGTAATACCTGTGAAAAAGATACCTATAGTTGTTGATTATATAGTGAATATAAACCATCTCTATAGGATGGCTTTAAAAAGCTGTTTAAGGTTGTGTCAACAGACATATAACTTTCAAATCACAGGAAATAATTAGCATTGTATGACTCTTGGTCAGATCCTATCTTGAGTATTTTGTTCATTTCTGATCAACTATACCACACATTGGAACAAGTTTAAAGAAAGTTGTGATAAACTGGAAACTAGAAATTAAGTTCTATGAAAAAAATGGAAAGAACTGGGAATGTTTTAGCCTTGAGAAGATACTGTGAAAGCACTTTAAAAATATCATAAGAAGTGTCATATAGAAGGCTCCAATTTGCCCTTTATCACTTTAAGGTGCAAGATATGATAATGGTTTTAAGTTTCAGGAAATGAGTCTAATTCTGATTTTTGTTTGTTGTTAATCACAATAGTATAGAATAAATATGACAATGGAACCCAGATAATTGTAACATCCCCTTTCTCTGAGTGTTTTCAAACAAAACTGAATAATCATCTATCTGGACTACTTTAAATTTAAGTTCAGTTTGAGCAGGAAGTTAGTTTCAATAAACATTTGGCTCCTTCCAAATTTATGATATGTGTGTTGTCCTTTGCCACAATTTATGTCTGAACTGCAGGGATATATCCAATTCTTGGTATCCATGATGTTTTATCACATGAATTCTCCCAAAAGGAATAAAATGTTCCTATTTGAATTCTAAATTAGCAGTCATTAAAGATTACCATGGAAATAATATAAGGTAGACTTCTGTGAACTGCTATGTTATGGCTGAAAGACATGCTTTGATGTTTATTAGGCTGTAAGAATTATTATCAGACAATTGTTCTGTGATAAAGCAGAACTGTGTTGATTTTTCCCCTAGATGAAACAGCCAGTGCTCTCTTAGAAGCAGTTGATGAAGAAAGGCCTCATGTGAAACCCTATTTCTCTAAAACAATTCAAGATATGGAAGTTGTGGAAGGCAGTGCTGCTAGATTTGACTGTAAAATTGAAGGTATTCTTCACTAATTTAGAAGACTTTATCAGCTATCCACCTGTCATTTTCCTTTTAGTGTTGGTGTATTGGTATTTTTTAATCTTCATGCAATTTGATGTACTTTATTTGCCAATTCTAATTCTCATTTTCTGGATGACCTGTAAGATAGAATTCCATTTTAAACAGAGTTTTATTCAGGTTATCAATGACCAAATCTGGCTTTTAGTTATTGATTTATCTTGACGTACCTTGAGAGGGCTGCCATGTAAAGAAGATGTTGTGTGTTCTGCCTGTTTCAAATTAATTGGGTACTAACAGGAACTGCAGACCCACAAATGTATATATTGATTGACATTAGAGTCTCTATGTAACTATAATTGTACAACTAACACGTATCAGGGAATAGTCATTGTTGGACTCTGGCTGAGTACATGTGTTACAGGTAAATGGGTTTAAATTTTTATAACCATATATGGTCACTCTAAAAGCAACCGTACATCTATTCACTTTACATTTCACATGGTAGTTACTGTATCTTGTATTTACTGAGTTTATACCATACCTGCTAATAAACTATGCAGCATTTGAAGGGAGCTGTTAAAGAGCAACATCTGGATTATGAAGATTCCACAGGATCCTCTTACATGGCCTGCAATTTCTTAGAATTGGACTTACTCTAAAACCTTCATTTGTACTGAACTTTTTGTACACTATTAACTGTTAAATAACTTAGTTGATAGATGCACATCTACATCCCCAGGCCACTATAGCCTGTTTTTTTAATGAAAAATTCTAATGATTGTCTATTTCTTTTTTATATTCAACACTTATCACTTAAAAAACATTTTTACAAATAAAATATCTTCATTTTCGCATCTGATATTTCTCAGGTTACCCGGACCCGGAAGTGATTTGGTACAAAGATGAGCAATCTATCAAGGAATCCCGGCACTTCCAAATTGACTATGACGAAGATGGCAACTGCTCTTTGATTATTTCTGAAGTTTGTGGAAATGATGATGCCAAATATACTTGCAAAGCAATTAACTGTTTGGGAGAATCAACTTGTACAGCAGAACTTATTGTGGAAACGATGGGGGAAGAGGAAGAAGAAGAAGAATGAATCAACAGAAGAGGAGAAAAACCACTCAGTTGAAGACTCTTTAATGCTCATGTAGTGTGACATTAGGTCATAGTTTTCTTCATTTGTTTTATAAGCAGTGTGGCTGACACCTGTTTTATTTATGGGCATTAACTTGAATTAACAAGCACTTTAGTTGGCTGTTGTGCTTGGATTTAGTTTAAGTTAAAGCATAAGTTGCAGAGCCCAGACAACGAATGTGAACACACCATATGAAGCTAATCTGCTAAAATCAACTCTTTCGTAAGCATATGATCAGGAGAGAGGAACTGGATAAGTATACTAATTGTTTCATCAAGCAATATAGCTAGCAAAAATGCATCTTTGGTGTCCTGTGACACCATTGAAATATGTATGAATGAAGTACATTTGGTGCATTAAAATTTTATCTGCAAGGGGCCCACTGGAAATACAAGAATAACACAGAAAGCTTCCTGATGGGATGCAAATTTAGACTCTAATTAGCTTCTCTTATCAAACAGATACTAAATATAGGTAATTATAATTATCTCAATGCCATCTTTGCAACATATTCAGGTTTGGGGGGAGGAGTTCCACCAGTGGCATCCCATTAACAGCATTTTGTGTCTTTCTTAACTTTCCCCTTGAGAGTTATTTGTAAATTCAAATCAAAAAAACCTCAATTTCAGAGTAAGTTATTACAAGTTCCCCCCCAAAAAACTAATACAGTTTTGAGTCCAGCAAAATAGCTTGACAGTTCGGTAGATTGATCTGAAATCCTGTTTAGAAAATGAAAGACATTTTCCCTATTTTTGGTGGATTTTCATACTGAGTTGTATGTTATTGTGATCATCATGGTAACAGTAAGAGCAAAAATGAAAAAAGGAGAAAAAGTTGCAGGTACAATTTGTAACCAAGTTGGCTGAATGTGTTGGCTGAAATTCTACATTAATCCTGTTGCTGTGAAAGATGAATGGCATGCCAGGTTGCCTCATCATAACCTCATTTGGTACTGAATGGCTTTTTTTTGAAGGACGGAAAGAAATCATAATTAATACTCTGTCCTGATTGCAGATTTCTATTTGCATCACTGCTCTGAATGCCAAAAGGAAAATGTGTCAGAACAAAGTAAAAGGTTTTGACATGTAGACTTGTTGGAAACGAACAGTATATTATGAAACATCAATGCCTGTGTGATGCAACTTGGGTTTATTTGTATCATTACTTTGCTCTTATTAGAAATATTTGCTAGAAACTGGATAGCCAGGAAAGAGAGCTCGATTACAAGGTCCTCTACAAACTCAGTATTGGTGAGGTTGATAGCTTCCTGCTAAATAAGCACATGTAAACAAATGCAAAGAGGCACCGAATGGTTAGAAAATATGTACCTTCCTCCAAATTGATTAACACGTTCAGATTTTTCTGTGTTGCTTTCCTTTCACAGTTAGCTGTCATTCAGAACATCTAACAGTACCTGTCTACACTTAGTGCATCATTCCAACTAAGGCTTTTCTCCACTTCTGCAAGATGCAAATATTTTCAGCATAACCATTGGCTTCATTAAAAAACACAGAGAACAAATTTAGCATTAGCCTCTCAAGCCAGAAGAGGAAAATTAAGTATACTTCAATATAGATACATACAGTATCTTTAGAACGTTTGATCTTATTACTGTAGTCTTACATGTTCTGTATTTGCTTGTCTGCCTGTTGGAATGCAGATATTCAAAATTCCATTTATGATATGTACTCACATTTGCTGTGGGGGTTTTTATTACTGCTTTCGCTGTTTCTTAGTTGAAGTTATCAGCATGTCCTCATTTTAAGTGGATGAGAAACTTTTGTTATAATAAAACACAGTCATTGCCAGTTTGCCACACATTGTTATAAGGCAATTTTAATATTATTTAGTGCATACAAGGCATTTTTTCACATGTTTTCAATGTGTTAAGAAAACAGTGGGGTGTATTTTTGTATATCTTAATTAAAAAATATGCTAATGTTTTCTGGTGTCTTAAACAGAGAGGGAATATTCGAGAACACTACAGCTGTAATTATTCACAATTTCTCAATAAATACATATCACAAAGCATGTTGCTACCAGTTCATTTGTTCAATATAAGCTCTGCATTCCTTTCTTGATCCAGGGTGAATGTTTGAGAACTTGTTTACCGCTCCCTGATAAATTTATAAATTATACTGCTTGCGTGACCCAGAGTAATATAACTTTCTACCTAGACAATAGATTTATAAAGTACATAAATATGAAGAACATAGCTGAAAACTAAATTATTCCTCTTGGCCCATGAATCTTTTTAACTTGTACAAGTGGTTGTGTTTGTTTGCAAAATGGTTCTACTAATAGTTCTTTTTTTTAAAAAAATAATAATCTATAAGCCTTGAAATGTTTGCTTAAAGGCAAACACAGCACACCTACTTTATTTAAAATTTTTGGAGAAGCGATTCTTTCAACATGCTTAATTAAAAAAAAACAAATCTTAAAAGATCAGGAAAGAAAAATAACATATGAACATACTGCTTTGAGACCCATTCTAGTCAGCTTTCCTTGCAACTGGTGAATTATTTGCAAGTTCCCCAAAAGGAGGGAAGGAGGAATGGGAAGAAATGGTAGAGGCAGGGAAAAGAGGTGCAGCCTTTTGGAGATGATCTGGCTGAGTCTGGTGTGTGGGGATAAATGAATCATTAATTTGGGGTCTACACCCCATAAGAGACTTGAGTCTACCCCCCCCCCCGAAGTTCCTTGACTAATCTAGCACCAATTCATCTTGATTTAGATCAGATTGTTGTGTATAGGTAGCATGAAATAAGCTTGTAGTACTCTTAAACTCCATTCTGGTTTCTAATGTCTTACACCTGACATCACCTGCTAGAGGAAATATTGTAGGCTCAAAATGGTGGCCTGCTCTCCTGTGGTCTATTGTGGTTTCTTTCTTTGCCCACTGCCTTCTAACTCACTTCAGCACCTTTCCAACATACCTCTCCACCTCCTAGGCATTTTATCCTTTTTTTTTTTCTTTATTCTCTCTTTTCCCTTCCATGAAGCCTACATTACTACATCCTGGAGTATGACAGGAGCCATCTACTAGCATTTGTGCGATGTGTGAGGGTGTGCTTCTACTTTCTCTTCCATGGCTGCTATTTCCTGGCATCCAGCATTGTGAAGAAATGAGCAGCTGCCAAGGATGGGAAAAAGAATCATTTTTAAGAATTAATTTTTCAATGTTGGGGATGCTGTGTTAGAGTTGTGGTGGTGCAATGGTTAGAATGCAGTATTGCAGGCTAATTCAGCTCACTGGCAGGAGTTTGAGACTGACCAGCTCAAGGTTGACTCAGCCTTCCATCTTTCTGAGGTTGGTAAAATGAGGACCCAGATTATTGGGGGCAATTACGCTGACATTGTGAACCACTTAGAGAGAGCTGTAAAGCACTATGAAGCAATATACTGTATAAGTCAAAGTGCTATTGCTATGCTGCTTTTAAAAAGTTGTTTTCCACTGGGGAAATCAATGTATTTTCTGAAGTTATAAAACAAAAACTATAAATGTATGCAAATGCTTAATCTCTTCCCCAAACTTCCCCTTGTCATCCATTGTTTTAACAGTTGTCAACATGTTGCAAAATAGCTAATATTTGCAGTGTTCAATCTTGATGAGATAGGGTCAAAAAGGCAGAAAGAACAATTCCACATGAATTTTGTTTGTGGCGGTTCTTCATTTAGAAGTATGATATTAAGTGTTCCCTTTTCTCCATTCCAAACTGTCCTGTCTTCAAAAAACACAAAACTACTTGTGTAGTTCTCTCTCTTCCTACACAATATCCCTCCGGGTTGCGTTAAGTGGAAGAAGAGAGAAAAGTTATTTTCAGGAGACAGACTGTATTATAACTAATATAATTCATCCTGTATGATTAGTTTACAGTCACTGCTGTGCATATTCTGAATTAAAGGCAATCTGAATAAACTATGGTTATTTAGCCATCTATGGGCATTCTTATGCAAAGTCAATTTTTATTGCAATTTATATTGCAGTTTGAACTTCCAAACACATATATACATGCACAGCAGTGGTGGGTTTCAAAAAATTTTGGAACCTCTTCTGTAGGTGTGGCCTGCTTTGTGGGAG